GCCTCACATATTTTTATGTTGCGTCAGAATTTTCCAGGAAGACTTGCAGGCTTATTGGAAAAATATCTACTTCATGGACTAAAGTAAAATGACATTTTTCATATTCTGTCATTCAGTGTTGATTCTGTTCCACTTCTTCCATTTCCTGTCATTATAACTGTCCTCTTTATGTTTCGCTCTATATTTATTATTCACATACAAGCCCTCTCTTACTGTTCCAGTTTCCCTAATTCACACTCGCTTCCCATTAAGGTTGTTTGCTACAAACACTGACAGGCGTACACAGGATTTAATCACGTGCTGGGTCTGTAAATGTCAGTCTACATTAATGTGATGAGAAAGCTGGATGGATGAAGAACTCTAACGTGAATTAATTGCAAACATTTCGCTTTTTAAAATGATGACTCATAGGTCATTTGTGCAAGAAGCTTCTTATGAAAACCGGTTTTATTTGGAAAAGTTGTTGTGTTGAGACATCAGTGTTTTAAGCAAGAATTAAAAGCCTCGCGTGGTCATATCATGAAGGAGTAAAGAATTAAGGCAGGGTAGATGAAAAACGTTGAACTTAACAGGAGAGACTGATGTTGATTTCCTGTTTCAGCCAATAGTCATCATTGTTTCTTCAGAATCGTAGCAGCTATTGTTCTATAGTTGTAAATCTATGTTTATTGATGTAACCATTATGGCAAAGGACCTTAACTTAAAGAAGAACCTCCATCTATGAGCTACAAGGCTCATCCTTTGAGGGTTGTAATGGAGCCAATCCCAGGAGACATGCTGGATACATCCTGGACATTTGACAGTTTCCCACATTTGCACCAACAGGCAAAGTAGATGAGCTCTGGGAGGAAGCCAGAGGACCCATGTGAATACAGCATGCTGACCTGATATAATAACTTTATTTGTATAGCACTGATTTAACCACAGTTACAAAATGCGTCACAAAAATCGATGGCAAAAAATGAATTAACTAAAATGGAATTGTATTCAATTCAGTTCCATTTTTAGCACCAAATCTAAAAAAATAACTTACAATTTATAGAGAAACCCAACAGTTCAATGCCCTTAGAACCTTACATGAACCACACCACCCTTATTACCCTCAAACCAATCTCTACAAATGGATTCTGCATGTGAATGTTCACAATCTGTAGCCAAGGGACAAGAGTTTGATGCAGGAGGAATTCTGGTTTCCATTTCAAGTTTATCAACTTTGAGCAGGCTTTGGTTGCCCGCAGGTAAACACTACACGTTTTGTGAAAGAGGCGGAACGCTTCGACCAAAATGCATCGGCTATCAATAAAATAGATAGAAATAGATAGAGATGTCGTCTGGATCAGTTTGTGTTTAGTGCAGGAAAACAGAAGATGGAGTCTTGGCCATAAATCCACTGTTTATTCCGGAAGGCCACTGCCCCAGAGGTTTATGTGTCATCAGAGGGTGTAGGATGCTGTAGAACTGTCACACATGGAAGATCTGACGGTTCTTGTGGTTGATTGAATCAGAGGCTTGGAACAAAACCTTTATGCTCATTGAGCTTGAAGGACTGTGCTTGAAGACTGCACCTGTGTGTTTCTTTAACAATCAAAGTTTTTCTTTTAAAAAGTTGAAACTCAGACTCTTATTCCCAAGACAAGCTGTAGGAAGCAGACAGCTTAATTTGACAAACGTAAACAATACGGTCAATAATTTTCATGGCTTCAAAACAAACAATTAAAACTGTTTTCCCTCTGAAATCATCTCTCTAAAAAAATGTCTGTTCTCACCAAGGCCCCAGCCGGGGGAGTTTGAGTCAGAAAGAGGCGATGGAGTATTTTAATTCTGAAAAAAAAAAAACCCTACACAAACCACAGAGCTTTCATTTAGAGAAATAACAGCATCTTTACGTCTCAAGGTGCCAAACTGATTCTGCCGAGAGGAAGCTGTGAGACATTAAGGTGGAGAACGGGGTATGACTCAAAGAGAGATGTGGCTGGATGTTATTACCTGCTGCTTGACTAATGCTAACAGCTTTAGCAAGAGCGGGAGATTAAAAAAATCATTGCATCATGTCCAGAGACAAGTTGCTGGTTGTGGAGTCTCAACTATTATTAGGAATAAAAGACCTGCACTGCTTTGTAAGCTCCTGTTTAAATATAATAGATCCTCTGGATTTTTTTGCTTCTTCTTTGTAGAGTAGGAGGACAAGGAGAAGCTTCTTTACTATATTTAATCTGCAAGATATGAAAAACCATAACTTTCGTTTTCATTTAGGCAATAGCTTGTGATATTATTACTACAATGCTGGAAAAAAAATAAGTGTCCTTAGGGATTTTACTGGTCATCTAAGAGCAGGACACGAAAAAATTTGATTTACTTTGATAGTTCCCTGAAATAAAAAACCCAATTTGAATACAGCATGGTTAATCAACAGCAGCGGGAAGGAACAATTTCATCAATTCAATTTGCTGAGTTTCTTTTAAGCCCCATTCGTTTTTTAAAGGAGTCACAGTGACAGCAGTATTAACAACGACAGCCATACTCCAACCTCCTCCTCACTTTGCTGTGCCGGCTACATGAGGAGATGGCTCACTGAGATTTGTTTAATGAAATTTGATGACGCACAAGCTCAGCACTGGGACACCTCAGCAATTTCTCTCTTTCAGCTTGCCTCTCTAATTCTCTCCATATTTGTTTTCTGCCAGGGAAGAAATACTCTCTTATTATCTTACATGTCTCTCAAAGGAGAAAGTGAGAGGAGAGGCTGTGGTGTGGGTGCACATGTTCAGCTTGGTGAGGAATAAATGACGATTGAATGTATGTGTTTGTGTAGAAACGAGGTGGAGACTGAATCCCAGCGAGAGGCAGTGATTGTGGTTTTATGAGTGACTCCACCACCATCATCGTCCTCTGATGATGTGGTTATTGCAGGGCAGAGAACAAGCATGCAGTCAATAGGGTGCTGTCATTTCATCACATCATCGTGCACACCCTGCTGCAGGTTGTTTGCTGATGTGCGTTCGTGTCAGTGAGTGCGTAAGACACAGGGAGAAAGACGTAGGGCGCTAGGAGATGAAGAAGAAATGCTCGTCTCATCCCTCGGGCTCTGTGCTTTGGTCTCTAATGCTGAGAAGAACCCCACAAACCTTAAAGACTTGTCTTTAGGCCTCACTGCTGTCTCCGCCAGATGTTACCTCCTCACATCTGGTATTAATGCGAGTTGTTGTGAAAGCAACACCCCCCCAACAGCACAGCACTCTGTGTTTTCCAGAAAAGTGTATGAGACAGATGTTATTGTCACTAATAAGAGCCATTAACTCCTGCAAGACCTGTTTTTGTGCACTCTCTCCTTCTCTCTCTCTTTCTCTCTCTCTCACTTTTAAAGTTTGCTCATTCTTTTCATCTGCTACTTCTTGGACCTGTTCTACATCTGTCTCTTCTCTCACAGGACGTGATGTTGGCAGGTGCCGCATCTCATGTGCAATTCTGTTTTTCCACCGAAAAGTGGAAAAATACTACAATGCCTCATGAGAATAAGTGCAATCGGCAACAGAGAAAACATGTTTGCAACATATCTTCTCAAGATGAAAAAGACACCGAAATGGTGAATGCTGGTGATATTTTGTGGTTTTGTTAGAAGTTAGAAGCTTTGTTGAAATTTTGACAAGAACATGTTCTCGTGTAGGTTTTAACTTTTAAATTTAATGTTATAAACTTCGTGATTTGCAACCAAACTACTTCATCTCCCATGTTGATGACAAGTGTCCACAAAAAAGCAACTAAAAAAATAGTTTTTCCCTAAAAATGTTGAATAAGTGAATCTCACTCAGTTGTGTTGGCTGTGACTCAACTGCTTCGACTTTACCACCTCCACTTCATTCTCTGACGTGGTTACATAACTGTTATTTGTGTCCAGCTTGTGCCTTCTTCACATAATTTTGTTAAATGTAATTTCATTAAATCTTACGAAACCCTGCTTTAGTCTCTTTGGATCATTATCCTCAGTCAGTTATCAGATAGGCAGAAGTCTGCTGGATTTATTATTCTCTGGCTGACGGCTCCAACCGTTATAGTCTAGATATTGGCCCCGTCGAGCAGAACTCATGACAAGCGCAGGGTCAGCATGTATTTCTGCAGACGTAGCTTCTAATGTGGACATGTGACAAAGCTGTTCTCTGGTAAACACATCATGCTTAAACCACATGATACATGATGATGACATAAACAAGCATCTACTCTGACTCAGCGATTATGTACTGTTAAAAAACAAAAAGGTGACATAGGGAAGGTTTTGAGAAAGGGCAGAGATGTTAGATTGGTCCACTTCCATGTTTTCCTTTGCTCGACAGGACTCAGTCTGAACACTGGCTGTTACAGCTGAATTTCTCAGTAACAAGGATATTTATAGTGTGACCCTGGGCAGAACGCCAATAGAAATAGGGATGTCCAGTCCATAGGCCGTCAACAAACATGAAACTGAACTGTGTGGTACAAAATGACCATTAAACGGGAACAGAAAGAGAAAAACCAGATGCTTAAAATCAGAAACAGGAAACAAAAGTCTATTTTGCATGTTTGAAGTTTAAAAAAAATGAGGCACTGAGAGACACATACTGAAAATGTGGTCTAAAAGTTTCTACAGGATAACAATGACTGAACTTGAAAAGCTGTCAGACTTCCTGTGGGCTCAGTGTCTCATCCGTCACAACAAATTCAGCAGACCTCACAAATTAAAGGAAGAAGGTTTTGAGATACTTCATGGTCATGACAAAGAGTTTCATATCTTTTGTGAAGTTACTTTTATATTCAGAAATTTTCTTTTTGGTATTGAATCCTCGAATGGAAGTTTTAAAATGTCCAAAAAACAAACATTCACATTTCCTTGTTGGCCACCTAGAGGTCCAAACTACTACTTCACTGTTTCTCTACTTATCCTGTGAACACTTACCTCTGCCATTTTCTTCTCTCTGGCCTCTTCCAGTTTTCCAAAGGGTCAGTAAGCTTGAGCATGATGACCTACTTTCACCTTATCAGGCAACAGAACAATCTTAACAGTGGGTAAGTGCTAAACTCTGGCCCTGATGAATGAAAAAATGTTTGTCAGATAGAGCTGCTTGTAATGATTTATTGCATCATATTTAAATAGATATTCCCATTAATAAGAATATAGAGGACTTAAAGGTCCAGTGTGTGATTAAGGTGAAAAAGAACTATTGGCAGATATTTAATGTAGAATAATCCTCATGATGTTTTCACTAGTTCGTTTCATCTAAATTGTGTGAATTGTAGTTTTCTTTACCCCAGAAAAGACCCTTTATATTTGAATACTTAATATTTACATTGAGGGGGTCCTCTCTAAGGCTACATACGGCCATGACAATGTGAGTGGAGCGTCTCTTATTAAGACGCCAGTGAGTCGCATTAAAGGAAGGGAACGTCAGGATGTCTCCACCTTATGCTGAAGTCCTGCACTTTTGTGGAAATGCAGCAGTAAATCTCTGCAGCGCTCCTTTAAGAGAATAACTAAAACCAGTGCCAATGGCTTATTAGGTAACGCCTCTGTAACAATGGTCCTTTATCTGCCCTCAGCTCCCACTTCACTTCCTGTCTTTCACAGCAAAAAAAAGAAAAAGAACCAGACATGATATTCATGGCTGATTATGTGAAATCAGATCGATCCGAGAAATGTAATCTGCATGTGAAACAGGAGAATCACATTGCAGTTGAAATGGGGAAAAGATGACATCATTCTGTATCGTGACATCATCCCAGCCAGTTTACAAGCATGACATCATCTCCTTGGTATGCAACCCCTCCGCTGGGGATTTTCTTTTTTCTGGAGCAGCAGAATCAGATTAATTATTCATGAGCGGCTTCCCTGTGTGAGGCGATCATGTGCTGCTTCTCTCTGCAGGGCATGGGGGCCATAAAGATTCACAATGTTGGTACAGTGTAAAAACACTTGACTCATACTGCAGCAGTGATATTAGAGCTCTGCTGAACCCAATGATGAGCTGATGTCATGATGACAAAGCCAAAACACTGCTCCTGCAGAGAGAGGACCGTTATACTGTGTTATTGTGCAGGAAATGAAAAGCCACACGAGTGATATTCACTTAATCTATAACCAAGAGTTGAGTTTAAGTGTCAAACACACTGACACACACACACATACACGTGTTTTTATTTTTTTACTCCAGTTGTCACGTCACAATTATAAAAATAAATTGGTATCCATTAATAATCCAGTGCCTGCCATTTTTGAACAATTGTTAATTGCTTTTCTCTTGTATGCATTTTAATTTGGAGTTTTTGTACATTACTTGGCTCATTTAGGAATCTGCATTGTGAATTAGCTTTGACTATGAATGTGGTGGCATGTATCATTCATGCTACAGCTTATGCATGTTATGCTGTTGTCCATTCCTTTATCACCAGGCCAGTAGTGTAGTAAAATAAACAAACACAGCTTTACAACTTTGTCAAATTATAGCATTAACTAAATTTGACTTTAGGCTCCAGTAGAACTTAACGAACTTAATGAAGGAAACAAGCACAAAACGACGAATGGGTGTTTGATTAAATTAAAACTGAAACATCTTTAAGCTTAACAGCTTGCACTCATTGGTTCAGTTCATTATTTACAGCCATACTGGATTAGCAACCTCAAGTTGTTGCTGTTCCACTTTATGCATGGAAATGACCCTTGAACACAGACACGGGTGGATCAGTTAAGTTGAGATGCTGATAATGAGTTCCACAGATCACAGGTTCAGTAATATAACCGGTTTCAGGACAGCAACAACACACAAGACATAAGCGAGGCAACAATCTGGAGCTTGACTCAGAAAAGACGTCTGATATATTTACTGTGGGCCGAGAATGGAAACAGGCGATCTGAGTGAAGGAGTGAGTGCTGGGTGATGAGGGAATATGAGACAGGTGAGTGAGACAGGGAGGAAAGAGTCAGGATGGAGAGACAGAAAAAAACAGAGCTGACACATGATTTCTGACATTTCTAGTTTGTGTAAGATCTCAAATATAAAAAATAACAGTGATAATAATGGTTATAATCAGGTAAAAGTAAATAAATGAATAGATGTTTTGAAGATTTCCTCACAGGTTTAACATCAGGTGGGATTACATTGATCTATTTCTTTTTTTTGGATCATAAAAACATGATCACACACCAAGAGGATGATGTCATCCCTGCACACTGGTAGGGATGATGTCATTGGAGGGAATGATGTCATGTCTTCATTTTAAATGCGTGTAGGTGCGGCTGCTGCCACAGCGTGTTTCCCTCCCTGTGCTTCATTTCTAACCTCATTTCCTTTACTATACCAGACTGTGAATCTCATGTTTGTATCACATGATGTTGTGCAGAGTAAGAAATATTTCCAGAGGTAGGAAATGACGGCTTTAGAGAACACAGCGTATTCATTAATTTTTTAAAGTACGATGTTTTTATGAGTAATGTTGAGTGTAATAATGAGTAAGATGTGTCTGCATGTTTTCCACCTCCAAAAAGAATTCCAAAGAAAGGGCATTATGTCAAGAAATTTAAATACAATTACCGCAAAAAGTACAATGCAAAGAAATAAAATCACAAAAGATTTAGAAACTTCAATATTTATCTCTTTTGAATGAAAAGAAAGACATTAATCAGACACTGGATATTTTCAGTAGATGATCAAAAACATGAATCAAATCTAAAAATCGACATATTCTACAAATCTTGTTTGTGTGTGGCTCGCATATCTTGAGAGCCGTTCATCTTGTCGGCTTCACACTTGGCACATGTCATTTTACAGTTTCAGAAAGAACCAGCATCACCGCAAGCTGAGCAAACAGGCAGGTTTAGAATGAGCTCTGCAGTCGTAATTAAAAAATGAGAATATGAAGCATAAATCAGGGGACGTGTCTAGATGCTGCTGATCCTTGACACCCCGTGCAGTTAACAGAGAGCGATGCCAGGTGGCTGATAATAATGAATCAAATTCTAATCCGTAACGATCTGTAGGCTGTAAAACAGAAGCGATGTGCCTCCATCGTGACGCACATGAAGGAAATTCATTTGCAAGTGAATGTCCTCCCCCTATACGCAGGACAATTTATGCACTGACACAATGACGCATTATTTTGACGTCATAAAGTTTGATAGCTGCTGCAGGAGCTGTCTCACAACATTGTGAGACATAATGCACCAATCTAAACCTCCACTACGACACGTGTGAGGCCACTTTATCGCAACAATTCTCTGGATGGTTACACCAGCAGTGTAATGACTCTGTGATTAGCACTGATGCCACATGTACCACCCAGCTGTGTCTGAGGGAACTTGGTGAGCCTGGCTTTCTTCTAGATACTCCAGTTTCCTGTCATCGTCAGAAGGATACACAGATTGGATGAATTTTAATTTAAAGTTTATTTCTTATTGCACAGAAATAATCCAATGACATCACAGTATTTGTAGCTACTAATAATTTCCAATGCCTGTCGCTAGAAGGAAATTGTAAACTTTAAATTCCCCATGAGGATGAATGTAAATATGTAAATCATGTCTGGCTACCTGTGCAGTGTTTTCCCTGCTTTTATAATGACTTTTTTGTGCAAGAGTAATATGAATAACCTGCAAATGAGTTAACCCAGTTAAGGAGGTTTCAGTTATACACGTTATCTTTTTCCAATTGAACACAATACATATTTTACAGAATAATCACGTCGTATGGTTTTGGGACATTTCTGCAGTGTATCAATAAAATAAATAGTGACTGAAAAATACACAAGAGAATTTGTACTGACAAGCCACATGTTGACTTACTGTGTTACCCAACTCAAGATTAATTATTGTTTTTAAAACTGATCCTAAGACAAACATTTAACTCATGATTCATCCTGCAAGGAAGATTTCCTGACATAACGACACCGATGTTTCTACAAAACAATAATTACGAAATACAAAACCACACACACACACCCACCCACCCACACACACACACACACCCACACACACACACACACACACACACACACACACACACACACACACACACACACACACACACACACTGTGCCCTTTGGAAAGCCGTCCTGCTGGTATCCATTGTTTGAATCAAATGTGTGGAATCGTTAACTGTCACCTCAGCTTGATTAGGATTCACACCCACAGACAGACTAAAACACAAAAAACAGAACGTACGTCAATCCTACGACAAAAAACTCATTATGTGATATAAAAAAGCACTTTTTAAATTGACACCCCAACTTAATTAGGATTCCCACCCACAGACCAACCAGTATACACAGCCACAAACACCTGTGTATATGACAACAGCTCATGAAGCTGCAGAGGGACGCTCCTCTCATCTGTCAGACACCCAGGGATTTATTGTTGTGATTACAGTTCTTCTTGTCTTCTTATTTGTCACACATGTGGTCATTTGTGGACACCACAATCAAACCCAGACAGAGAGGAAACGTACATCGATGAGAGAGGAAAGAGCTGCAACAACCTGGAGGATAAGTGGTGAACAAGCATTTGTAAAGTGTAAAGATTTTTGTCGCGTTAATTACGTTTATTTGCACAGCACATTGTCAAAGATTTCCTTTTCATTTATCTTTGGTTGTTTTCTTTTTAGGCTGTCGAAAGTAGAAATCTATTAGAAATTCTGTCAGAATATCTTATTCAATGCTGTTTGCAGAGTCAACACATAAACACTTATCAAGCCTGTGGAAAACACTGATATGCTTCAGGTACACATGAGCGATCGTCGTAATTATCCTCGTCTCGTCTGTTACCGTGACACAGACCGTGTACTTCCTACATAAATAATGTTTGGCTCTGTGCTTCACATCTGTAATCTAAAGGTATAAACACCAGCAGTGGAAGGATGTGTTGAAACCAAGTGGGAGGACAGCATTAAAAACTGCTTTGCATTTATAACTGCTGCAGCACAGTAATGTAAAGTGTTGGGAGGTGTTTTTCAGATTTATGAATAATATAATAACACACATTTAAGGCTACATCAGCCAGGACAACGAGATCATTCACTATT